ATTCTTCAAACTTGGTTACCATTTCAATGCGAAGACATGGCGATATCTGAGGCGAATGACCAAGGACGTTCTCCGGGGAACTGGAACCCACTTCAGACTCGTCACTTGATGGTAGCTTTAAGGAGAGGAAACTGGAACCGATCTCATCCCGATCACGTGTAGCGCGGCCACTAAATTTCTTTTCAAAACTGGAAACCATATTTGACTGATCACGTGGTGATGGTCCTGGAGAGAGAACATCATCAAATTCATCATGTGGAAGTGTTATCTGCGGAGCGCTGATTATCGCTTGATCTCGAAAACTGACAACCTCTGACAAATTTATCTCCACAGGGCCACCTTTCTCAGTTTTAGATTCATTCAAACTGCGTTTTTCTCGTCTGCGTCGAAGAAGATTCGACTCTCTCACGTCAGTCAAGCAAAACCTGTTTCTCCGTTGATTCAGATTATGTAAAATGCCACTTTGTTCCTTGTTTCGACCAGTCGTTACTCCTTCTTCGTCGGCGTTCAATGAGCGCCTCTCTCCCCTTTGCCTCGCGTACGGAAATTCAGAAATATTCTTTGAATATTCATAGTTCTCTGCTAAAATCCTTGAAGTCACCAAAGTCACCTGTATTTCCTTGCAGACCCCACTGGTGGGATCAGCTTCTTCATTAGCCAGCATCCTTTGTGCGTCGACATAAGTAATCTTTTCTGTAATTTCACCACTCATCTTGAAAGTAACTTCGTTTCTGCTATAAAAAAGCGGATGAAAATTCTGCTCTTCGGTTCAGTTAATAACGTACTATCACGGGAAACAACCAAGTAGATTTCCAGAAAAAATGAGGAAACAAATAATTAGACACGATTTATATATCGGTAATTAAGCTCGTGTTGGGATTCTTTGATCAAAAATCAGCCGACACGACTTGCGCAACTTTTTGTGACGTCTAATATGTAAGACAGATCATTTCGCAATATGAATTCAGCTTAATTCTTTTCTAAATTAGTTTTCTCTACTCTTGAAGTTTATTTCATGGAACAAAAATTATATCTAGTGACTGGTCATTTTTTACCCCCAGGGAGGGGAGAGAGGGATTCGGTGGATTTTTGTTGAGTCACGATAAAATTCACCTGGTCCCCTCTAGGGCTCTGCGATATTCTCACGATCCCCCCTCGTTGAGAGTGAATTTCCTATAGTCTCTCCTTTAAACTACGTTGGCGACAACTGACCCTCTACGTTCCCCTGGAAACTTAGTGGTCCCCCCTAAAATTCTCCAACCCACCCACCCACCCCTCCCACGCGACAAATAATGACGAGTTTCTTACCTAAAAATATCTTTTAAATCCAAGTTTTCTCTCTGGTTTTCCACTTTTTTTTCAGCGTTAAGACTTTGTCGGTGTTCAAATCAGTGACTAAAGTTCATTTATAAGTCCTTATTTGGCATATTTCTTTCACAATAACTTCTCTGAATAACCCAGCTCCTTAATTAGAAATCTGATCAAGCGAGAACGTTGCGCAATCTGGGTGTGCCAAACACCGTATTTTACATACAAATCTGCCATTTAAGTCTTAAAGAGATTTAGCAGCAGCAATTTCGAAGAAAGACCTCTTACTGCCGTATGGGCAGGCTGTCGTGTTTTGGTTTCGTCTTCTTCTGCTTACAGTCCCTTCTCAGCCGTCTGTTACACCATCGACAGCTGCTTATGCAAGAAAATTATTGAAGATAAAAAAAAAACCATCTTTACATCCTTGATAAAGATCATTAACATTAGCAACTGTCGTCAAGAAAAAGGTGGGACTAAAATTTGATCTGTTTGATTTCTGCGGTGACATGAGGTGACCCACGCAACGACGTCAATCATCAAGATACTTTATTCTAATTGACGACCACAAATCAAAAAATATCTTCATGTTCTCCATGGTTTGCTACATATGAAGGATGTTCATACGCATCGGGGAAGTTTTGCAATCACAGTGGGTATACTACTTTTCCATATTTGGGTCAATTTTTAGATGTTGCTGTTTTTACCAGCCATTTCCTAAATTTTGCTTTGGACGGAGTGTTTACTACATGTAGTTCGTCAATAAATGGAAAAGTATTCTTTTAAATGACTTCTACGATTATCTAATTCCATATTTGGTCATGAGAAAACGCGGGTAGAAAGAAAAATGAATCTCATTGGTTGAGAAAATGGTGCAAGTTTTCAGGACCAATCACAAAGCGTGGTGATATTAAAATGAAATTCCGGATTACGATCGACAATTTTCAATGGAAGCACTGTTCAAATGAGTGTGGAAAGTAATTCGGATTGCTTTGGCCTAAGTTTGCTTCGTGATTGGTCGCGAGAACTCGTGCGCTTCTTACTCGACCATTCGCATTCAAAACTAAAACCAATGAGTACTCATCGGCTCCTGGAGTTATTTACCCTTGTTCTGATAGGCTGCGAACGGGCAAGAAAACGCGCGCTTTTTTTCGACCAATCGGATTCAAACTAAAACCAATTGGCGTTTTCCCGCGTTTTGAACTGTTGGCTTATTTTTACTTTGAATTCTCATTGGTTCGTGTTAATAAAACTCGCGCGCTCATTTTGTTCAATCACATGCAAAACTCTCATCAACTGTCACGTGGACAGTCAATGTTTTTTATTTAAGTTCCCATCGGCTCCTTGTGGTGTCTTCCTTTTCATCTCACTGGCAGTTGTAATAACTTTTATTTTGATTTTTAGACACTTGCGTAAAATACGCTTTTCTTTTAAACCACAATTCCAAATTGCTTTGGATCAACGCAAAACATTTTACCTGTGTCGTGCATGATGATAAAATAGCTGCAATATTTGACAACAGTTTCGGTAGTTTACATGGCGCCTACAGTTCAAATACTTGCTTCCTTTCCTTCAGGAAACATTATTTATCCTTGGTTTTGATGGATCAATTCATCCGAAGCACAAATAATTGTGTCAATAACAACCTTTGAACCGGATTTCTCTGCTGCTTTCCGCTGATGTGTTCGCAAATTTGATAACTGGTTAAAAAACTTGTCACAATGGTCACATTTATATGGCTTCTCTCCAGTATGAACTCGGAGGTGTGTCTGTAAATTTGACCCGCGATTAAAACACTTGTTACAAAAACTACACTGAAAGGGCTTTTCTCCTGAGTGTATTCGCTGATGTCTTCGCATTGTGGACCCGGTCTTGAAAGTCTTTTCACATTGATCGCACTTGTAAATTCTGCTTCCACGATGTTTCATTTCGTGCAGTTCCAAACTCCGCGAATTCTTAAAACACTTGTTACAGCGTAGACACTGGAACGGTTTCGCTCCGGTATGTATTTCCAAATGCCTGCGTAGGCTTGAAGACTGCGTGAACTGCCTGTTGCAATGGTGACACGAAAAAGGCTTCTCGCCGCTGTGAGTACGCAAGTGAACTCGCAAATTAAGCGATTGTGTGAAACGCTTGTCACATTGAGTACAATGATAGAGTTTTACTCCGCTGTGCATTCTTAAATGCCTTGTCAAACTCGACAAGCGGTTAAAAAGCTTATCGCACTGAGTACAACTGTATGGTTTCTCGCCGGTATGAACAACGATATGTCTTTGATAACCCGACTGAAGTTTGAACTCTTTGTCACAGTGTGGACATTTGAAGGGTTTTTCGTCGCTATGAACCACCAGGTGCCTTTTCAAGGTGGTCGAGTGTCTGAAGCGCTTTTCACATTGATTGCACTGATATCGCTTCTCGCCAGTGTGAACCAACATATGCCTCTTCAACCCTTGCGAGTCTTTGAAAGACTTGTCGCATTGAATACAATTGTAGTTCTTCTTGTTATTTGACATTTTGTAATACTGGAAAGATAATCTGAAAAAAAAACAAAAAACATACAAGATGTTGCTACCAGGAGTCTCACCCCTTATAACCAAACATCAGTATTCATAATCTCCATACTGTTCTCCATACATTTCTTTAGGTGCTGTAAGGAGAATCTGAGGAACAATCAAGAACCTCTCTAGTTGGTGATCATTTCCTTCTTTCTCATGACCTTAATTTGTAATTCAAGGGTGATATTGTATGAAGAAATTAGATCCTAATCACTCTTTGGGGTCAAAGGACATAAAAGTTCATAAGTGTTGCTGTCAACAATGTACTTGTAAGAATAGAAAGTCATAATATCTGAAAATTATTCAAACTGATTTAAGGATTTTCAGAAAAATGCAAAAAGAGGTTGAAATACGGCTATCTTGACTGGCTGAGCCTGAATGATTAAGATTTCTTATGTAACTAAGAAATGGCAACAAAATGGACAACCCCCAACAGGCATCATGGGTTCATTTTGTTCACTCAGGTAGTCAGTCAGAACTTGGGATTCACTTCACCTTACCATCTTGTTGAGTCAACTTTACAAGCCAGATATAAAAGTCAGTTTGTGAGTTGAAAGCCCATTTGGCTTAAACCAATCCCTGTTTCAGTATTACAAGTACCTATTAGCATGACTACAGCAGGTTACCCCTGCTCTTTTGAAGGTGTTCTCTATTTTGCTAGTACTGATAAGTACATTGGAAGAATAGGAACACAAAGAGAGTGCAGAATATTGCCCAGGAACAAAACACAGACACTCAGCCAAGGATCAAATCTGAAACCTGCTAAAATAGTCCAGAAAGCAGTTGTAACCTTACTTAATACATTCTGAGTGGAAGAAAAGATCACCTGCAATAGATACTATAGCAAAGGGAATGAAATATCTGTGATCAGTGACTGTGATATGGGCCTTGCTCACTACAGAGTCCTTGTGGCTCAGTGGAAGAGCATCGGAGTGCAGAATCTAAAGGTCTTAGAATGGATTCTTCATGGGGACTCAGTATTTTTTCTTTGTCCCATGTTCATGACAAGACAAAAAAAACATCTTTCTCTATTTCTTTAGCAACCTAAAAAAATTAGCATCTTTCTTATTCGATTTACAAGACAGTGATATTGTTCCTCAACAAAAATATGGTTACGTCTGATATGGATTACAAAGTTTCTATTGTGCACCTCAAGGCACCTTTAGGTGACAATGTCACACTTTTAACACAACCTTTTGGGGTTCAATCTGACGAAGGGCTAACACTCAAAATATGGCCAATTTACATTATCAACTCAATTGATAAGACTAAAGTACCCCGTTATACTCTCCCATTGATGCAGCACAACAGTTACTTTGGAAACTTACCCCCTTAATCTTTAGGAGTAATGACTACAAATGGTAAGATGAACAGTAATCATGACCCCCCCCCCCCCCCCCCCCCCCCCCCTTTTCACAATATCTGTGAACAAATACCTAAGTTTCATTAATTTCCTTTCCAACAAGCACAAGAGTGCCAGTTTTTCATGTCGAACATGTTAGAGCTCGTACGCGTGACAAGATACACCTCGTTACTCCTGCTTACGAGTAGCCCAGAGGGACTGGGTACAAATAACAAAGCATAGCCAGAACTGCAAAAGCTCAGAGCGAAACGATTGCTTGGGGAAAAAAGAACCCGAAAAAATAACGTGTTAAGCAGATGTTGCAATTTTTACAGTACAAAGACTACACGATTATCAAATGTTCAATCGATTTCGACTGTATTACAGTTGATATCAACAGTGATCGTACGCCGATCAACAGTCGAAGCTAATCATTCAATAGTTCGCTTTGGTTGTCAGATAAGTCCAAATTAAGGTCGATTTCGTTCCGATCTGTTTCTTTTTCTCTCGCAAAGTAATAATACATAAATAATATACTCAACCGGCAAATAACGCACGGAAAACCATCAGACCTCAATTTCACATCTGACTGGCCCGTACATCTGAGCTCAAGCTCAAACTGTTACGTGATACCAAGAACGAACGAAAGTCAAAAACAGATTAAAGTTTACGTAATGGCCAAAATGAGACATTTGAGGCTGATTACTAACCTTACTCAACGCTCGAAAATCAGCTCAATCAAAACAGGAGCAAAACCTCTTCCACTGCTGAGCACGTGACCGAATCTTTGTCACGCGCATGCTTACACAGTAGAATTTCGATGATTCTCAAACGAGAGCCTGTCTCCGAGCATTACCATTTTTTTTTTTCCAGCGGAAGGGTCAAGATAAGACACCAATGTTCACAGAACACTTTGTTTAAGCAGAACAAGAAGGATGTTAAATTTTGTGCAAGGTAATGAAATAGAGAAAGATGTTTTTTCGTCCTGTCACGAAAGTGGGACAAAGAAACAGCCCCAGACCCTCACGGGACTCGAACCCTCGTGGATTCGATCCCTCCTGAGGATTTTTTTCCTTGCCCACGCTCGTCACAAGACGAAAAAATGTCTTTCTCTGATTATTTTTTTTGTTGTTGTTGTTGCTTTATTTGTTTGTTTGTTCTTGTTTATGCAGAGAGGGATCGAAACAGCTCATATGCAAGTTTCCCGGCTCTAATAAACTGAATTTGTTTTTGTAAACTGCTAAAGAACGTAATTCAGCGAAAGATGATAACAGTTTGAAGCAAGACACTCTACGAGCTTAAATACGATAAAATCTTTAGTAAATTTCCCTCGTCCGTACCGAACGGGAATCAAGTATATCACAAATTTAAAACAAATAGGAATTTAAACATGATATTTTAAGAATAGGTTGAGGTTACAGGGGGAGGAGTGAATTGTTATTGAGAAAGGCCGAAGTTTGGTTGGAGATTTGTTCACTAAGGAGATCCCTTGCTAACGAAGATTTCTATTTATCGAAAAAAAAAATACCGAAACTGCCGTATAAACAATTTCAAATTGGCTAAATTCTCTTGCTAAAAGGCATTGCATCAAAAAACGTCTCCGAGTTTCATCAGTTCCTTAATGGAGCTACGAAAAGAAATGGCGCGGTAACTTTGTTCAATGGCATTCAAAACATCTATTGAAAAAAAGAACAAAACAACCTCATTAACAGTTAAGCATCTAAACTGAAAAAATATATCCCATGCCTACAAGAAAGTTAGAAAAAAATTTCGAGACCCTATTGTTATTATTTGACTTTAGAGCTCGTTATTCCAATCAACCAAGCTGAAAAATACTTCGACGATTAAGAAACAATAAGGTCGCATATTTTCAGTTTTTTTCCCTTTTTTTCATTCTTTTTTCTGAGGGTGGGATTTTTCCTTCTCTTCACACAAATTAACTGAAAATACCATAGAGCGCTAAAACCTTCTAACAATCATCGTCACTCATTAAATCTAGGTGTCGTCTCTTCTAGAGTTCCAGCCATTGAAATTCTACTCAACGTTCCCGATGATTGACCAATTGATCAGTAATTGTGTTTTTTGTGGAAACGCTCGCAGTTTCCTCAAATTTCGATCCCAAAATACGTTTCTTTTTCGTCCGCTTTTCTTTCAGAAGTGCTGCAAGCTTTTTCGGATTACCTTGATTTGATGCCAGCCGCATTTGAAACTTGGGAATTGAAAAATCGCTGACTGAGATTCTGTTTGAGGAATTCCCATGATGGCCGGGCCAAACTTCATATTCCCCGCGTGGAGGGCTTAGGAACAGAACTGTCGACAAATTATCATCTCCTTGGAGAAGGTTCGAAGAGTCTGTCTGGTTGAAACTCCAAAAGCAATCTGCTGATATTTCATTCATTTTCCCAAATGCTGTTGTACGTGTTGTAAAAATATATTTTTCGTTTAACAGTTCACAACCCTTCCTGAACTGATGATCAAAACAGGATCTTCGATTAAGAAATTAATAATTTGACACATGTTCTTCTCATTTTCTTGCGTGTGATGACCAAAAATGGAATTATTTACTTCCTATAGCAGCTTAGAAAATAGGCGAGTTTTGACATCATCCTTCAACGTACGTCACTCAGCGAGTTGCCAGGTAACGGATCAGTACGTGGTGGTCTTTATCGGCGTAGAGGTGTTGCGTATTCCGAAAAAATCATAGAACGAAACTT